AGGAATCAAAAGCAGGGTCACCCATGGTGTACAGACTTTAGCAGACTTTCCAGATTAAGGCAGACTAGGAAGAAGGGGAGATGGACCACTTCTGAATGTTCAGCCACTGAAAAGCTTATGAATAGCAGCAGGACACTGTCTGACACACTGCTAGAAAATGAGTCTCTCAGGTTGGAAGGCACTGAAAATAAATTGGAGAACAGCTGCCACCACAAAATAGAGTTGACCTTAAAGATGTGGATGGAGGAAAGCCTTAGAGACCTTAATTTCCTGATAGGGCAAAATTGAAAATGAGAAGAGGCTGCAAACATTCATTAATTATCAGAATGTGGAATTTAAGACGTATAAATCTAAGGATATTGGAAGTCATCAAAAATGAAGTGGATCAAATAGAGATCAATATCTCAGGCATGCATTGGTGGTCATAGTGGTGGTATACTATTGAATCAGTTCTGACTGATAGATACCCCAGGTAGGGATTTTGAAGCTGTAAGTCTTTACAGGAGCAGAAAACCTTCAATTTCTGCCTTAGAGTGGCCAGTGGATTCAAACTGTTGACTTTGAGGTTAGCAGCCAAACATGTATCTCACTAAGCCACCAGGGTCCCTTATCCTAGGCATTCCTGATCTGAAATGGGCTGGTATTGACCATTTTAAATGGACAATCATATGATTTATTTGTCAGAAACAACATATTGAGCAGGAATAGTGTGACATACATCATCAAAAAGAGCATTTTAAGCTCTGTCTAGAAGTATAATGATGTGTGCAATAGGATAATATCCATATACCTAAAGGGAACACTAGTCGATAACACTATTATTAAAATGTATGCACCAACTAGTAAGTCAAAGATGATGAAATTAAGGAATTCTACCAATTTTTCCTGTTTGAAATTGATTAAACATGCAATCAAGATGCATTTATAATTAATGATGATTGGAGTGTGAAAGTTGGAAACAATGAGAACAAAAGTTGAAGAATATAGCTTTGGTGATATAAATGATGCTGAAAATCACATAACAGAATTTTGTAAGACCAAAAAGTTGTTCTTGTAAATGTCATTTTGCAACAACATAAAAGGCAACTATGCACCAGAAGGAAAATACAGGAATCAACTTGACTACATTTTATGAACAGACTATGGAGAAGCTCAATATTATCAGCCAAAACAAGGCCAGGGGTCAACTGTGGAACATATCATTAATTGTTCATGTGCAAAGTCAAAATGAAGCTGAAAAAATGAAAATGAATCTACAAGAGCCAAAATCTGATCTTGAATACATCCTACCTGAATTTAGAGGCCATCTAAAGAAGAGATTTGATGTTTTAGACACTAATGATGGTAGATCAGAAGAGCTGAGGAATGACATCAAGAATATTGTGTATGAAGAAAGAAAAGTGTCATTGAGAAGATAAGAAAGAAATAAAAGACCAAAATGGATGTCAAAAGAGACTATGACACTTTCTCATGACCTTAGAGAAGCTAAAGCAACTAGGAGAAATGATGAAGTAAAAGAGCTAAACAGAAAATTTCAAAGGGCACCTTGAGAAGACAATGTCAAGTGTAATCATAAAATGTGCAAAGATCTGGAATTAAAAAACCAAACTGGTAGAACATAATCAGCATTTTTCAAGTTGAAAAAACTGAAGAAAAAAATTCAAGCCTCAACTTTCAATGCTGAAGGATTTTGAAAACAGCAGTAACCATCAAAAAAAAAAGAAGATGGAAGGAATACAGAGTCACTCTGTCAAGAAAAATTGTCCAATGTTCAGTCATTTCAAGAGGTACTGGTGGAATTGAAGGAGGAAGTCCAAGCTAGACTAAAGGCAGTAGTGGAAAAACAAGGCACCACGACCAATCAAATACCAATTGAAATGTTTCAACATCTGATGCAATGCTTGAGGTGCTTACTTGTCTAGGTCAAGACATTTGGAAGCTAGCTACATGGTCAACCTACTGTAAGAGATCATATTTATGCCCATTCCAAAGAAAGATGACCCCATGTAATACTGATATCATCAGACACTATCATTAATATTACATGCAAGTAAATTTTTGCAAAAGCTAATTTAAAAATTGTTGCAGCTGTAGATGGACAGGGAGCTGCCAGAAATTTAAACCAGATGTAGAAGACCTAAAACTAGAGATATCATTGCTGACATAGCTTTGGGATGAAAAAAGACATTTATGTGTGCTTTATTGACTTAGAAAAGTTATTTGAGTAACATTGCCAAGAGTGGTAGTTCCAGAACTCCTAATTATGCTTGTGAGGGACCTAAAGGCAGTCATTCAAACAGAACAAGGGCATAGTGAATTATTTAATATCAGGAAAGGTGTATCAAGGTTGTGTCCTTTCACCATACTATTCAATTTGTATGCTGAACAAATAATCCAAGATGTCAGATTATATGAAGAAGAACATAGCTTCAGGATTGGAGGAAGTCTCATTAACAACCTTTGGTATGCATATGACCCAACCTTGCTTGTTAGACACAAAGAGGACTTAAAATTCTCCCTGTTGAAAAAGCAAACAATGCAGTCTTTAGCATAGCCTGCACCTCAATGTAAAGAAAACATAAATCCTAACAACTGTACCAATAAATAAACTTTTCATAAATGGAGTGAATATTGAAGTTGTCAAAGACGTCATCTTACTTGGATCCAAAATAAATGCTCATGGAAGCAGTGGACAAGAAATCAAAGGACATGCTGCATTAACCAAAATGACTGCACAAAATCTACTTTTAAGTGTTTAAGAGTTAAGATGTCACTTTGAAGACTAAGGTGCACCTGAGCCAAACTGTAGTATTTTTAATCGCCTCATGTGCATGTGAAGTTATACACTAAAAAAAGAAAACCATAGGAAGAATCAATGCATTTGGATTATGGTGCTGATGGAGAATACTGAAAGAACCATGGAGTGCTAGCAGAGCAAACAAATCTGTCTTGGTAGAAGTACAGCCAGAGTACTCATTAGAAGTGATGATAGTGGGACTTTGTCTCTCATATTGTGGACAGGTTGTCTGGAGGGACTAGTCTCTGAAGAATGGCATACTTGATAAAGTTGAGAGTAAGTGAAAAAGAGAAACAGTAAGATAGACTGACACAGTGACAGCAACAATTCATTCAAACATAACAACTGTGAGGATGGTGGACTTTGAACCACTGTGAGGACGACTCAAGCATAACAACTGTGAAGACCGTGAAACATGATGTAGTGTTTCATTCTGTTGTGCATATGGTCACTATGAGTTGGAATCAACTGAATAGCACCTAAAAACTACAAGTCAAATAGATCAATCCTTGCCTTTTTTTTTTTTTGGTTAAAGCCTCATGATGTAGTAATTACATGCTTGGCCACACACTTAAAGTTTGGTGATTTGAACCCATCAGCCACTTTATAGGTGGAAGATGTGACAGTTGGCTTTCTTTCTTAAAGATTACAGTCTTTGAATCCCTATGTGGATGTCTTCTCTATCCTATAAGTTTGCAATAAGTTGGAATCAGTTCCATGGTAATGGCTTTGGTTTTTCAGGAGTTTACATCCACTGGTATCCTGCCTAAGGGAATATTTTGATGACAATATCATTAATTTTTCTTACACAAAGATACTAGGGTGAATAGAAAATATTGCTACTAGGGTTCAAATCCATACATGTATGGGCTTATGCCAGCCACAACATGTTTAAATACATATTTACAATCAATGGATGACTGTAGCTAAGTTCTTTCAGTAATACAATTGTCTTAGTCTTATTAGGGAATCTTCAGAAAAGAGGCACAGTAAAAACAGTGGCTTCTCAGGAAATCTGGTGGGACCGTTAAACTCAAGGCAAAGAGATCAGCTCAGAAGGTCATGACAATTATTTTGGGGACTCTAAGTGGGTAAACTTAATATATTTTTCTCAAAGGACACATAGAAATCATAAGGTTTTATTAGGAAGAACTGTTAAGAAAATTGATTTCATATCTCAGGCTGTAAATGAACCTTCCTCCAATCCGGATGCCATATTCTTCTTCATATAATCCAATTTCTTGATTTATTTGTTGAGCAAATAGAGTGAATAAGTATGGTAAAATGTGAAAAAAAATCAGGAATAGTTGTACAAAGGGTTTTGTTTCCATCACAATTGTATACCTACGCATTCTTTCAGTGTAGCAAGAACTGTCCTATAAGAATTCTGTTGAGCAATCTAGCCCACACATCCAACAGCATTCATCTTGCCCCTTAAGATTTCTTTCTGTTCCCCTAACTCAAAGAACACTTCTAGGGAACATGATTTGTGTCCCTTGAGGACACGAAAATTGCCATTTTGACATAGTATAAATCATAGAGCACAGAATGCTTTGGGGAAGTGTTAGTAAAGAGCTGGAAATATTGCGTTCACAAGTGTACAAATACAGATGGAGGATATGTCAAGAAGCAATATCTTTATATTTTGATACATTTGTTTAATAGAGGCTTCTATGATTTTATAGCAATACATTATGATGTATCCTTATACAATTACTTAATAAATATACTAAATGGTAATAAATCTAGAGACATTGAGAGACATCAACTGTAAAATATTTTTTTCAAGATACTGTAAATCATACACACACAAAAATTGAGTGGTAATTATTCTCACTAGCTATTTTATTTCAGGTTGATTTTAATACTCATTAATACTCTTTTGCTATAAACCATCTAATGGTTATCTAGAATTATTTGTTGTAAAAAATGGTTATCTAAAATATTATGTTTAAACCCAAGTAGATGTAATTATCCCCACTCTTCTTTCTTCTTAGTCTCTCTTAGTCTGTAAGCGCCACAGAAACCTGCCACCTATGGGTGACTCTGGTAGCATTTGAAGTATCAGTGATACACATCACAACGTATACAAAACCACAATACAAAGTGACAGATAAATGGTAGAAAATACACACAGTTTATACAAATTCAGGTTGCTAAAAAAATCAGAATTTGCAGGTAGTTTTGGACAACTATTTCTTACCTGCTTGTGAGCATGGTCATAAGAATTAATATGATTGTCAAACTCCTGATGCTTATAGTACTGCTTGTCACAGAGTTCACAGTAGAAATTTGCCTTCAGGTCTTCAAGAGCTTTTGCTATGGTATTTTCCTTCTCAGCATAGTCCTGAAAAATAAAATTCCCAAGAAAAGAGGCAGTTAGTTCTTCCTTGGGTTTACATTGTTCTGATACTTGTCAATTTTACTCCAATAATCACTGTTATCTACAGACTATAACAAAAGGAAAAATTAAGAAAATATCCCCAAACTAAAATTACAATAATTTATGAGTTAATAGAAATAAAAGATGAATAGTAAAAGACCAAATAAAGGAAGGTAATGAAAAAATTGTAGAAATATAGAGAAGAAAAGTAAACTAAGGAAAAATAGAGAACCCCTTTTACTAAATAAGTTCCTGTCCTAGTAGAACAAAGAACAAATGAAAATTAAATAGGAATTAAATTCACCTCCATTTCTCAAATTAACATAAAATTTCAATTCTGAACAGACTATAAAATGTGTCCTATATGAAGAGGGGCTCCTGGTGCAACATCATATGATCAGCATTGGAATTTGAAACACAAGGTGGCAGGTTAAACCCACAGGTTCTCCTTGGAAAACCTATAGAGAGTTTCTATGAGTCAGAACTGACTTGATGACACTTAAGAACAACAATATATGTATGCACGACTATTCAATATTCTATTTTTGATTGTCTCATTATATCTGTATGTAGTGCCTTACTAATTACTTCAACTCAAGTTATAGTATGGAACTGTAATATAAACACTGAACTGATAACACAACGTTGGTGGTTCACACCCACCTAAACAAAGTCACTATGTGTCTGAACAGACTCGAGGGCACTGAACAACAACAAAAATCACTTCAACTAGATTTCATTTAAGTAAATGTTTTCATCTACAAATCATCTATCCATTTGTATTAATGTGGTGCTTTACATGTTGTTGCGATGCTGGAAACTTATCACAGGTGTTTTGAATACTAGCAGGATACCCCCACAGTATACAGGTTTCAGGTGGGATTCTAAATGAAGACAAATGAGGAAGAACGAGAGACAGACTACTTAGTCACTGAAAATCATATGAATAACAGTGAAACACTGTTAGCACCAGAATATTGAATATTGAATCATGATGAAAAGCACCAGAATATTGTTAGCTATAGTACAAGATAATGAGCTCCTCATGTTGGAAGAAATTCAAAATATGACTGGGGAAGAGCTGCCTTGTCCAAAAGAGTTGACCATGATGATGCAAATGGAGTAAAACCTTTGGGACTTTTTTGTCTATGGGGCACAACTCAAAATGAAGACAAACAGCTGTAAACATCAATGAAATATCTGAACATGGAATGCACAAAATATGGCTCTAGGAAAATTGGAAATTGTCAAAAATGAAATAAACTGCATAAGCTTTGATATCCTAGGCATTAGTAAGGTGAAATGGACTGGTATTGCCCATTTTGATTCTGACAATCACACAATTTACTATGACAAGAATGACAAATTGAAGAGGAATGGTATTGCATTCATCATTAAAAGAATATATCAAGACCTGCCTTGAAGTACAAGAATGTCTGTGATAGAATAGTATCCATACAAGTACAGGGTAGACCAGTTAACACCACTATTGTTCAAATTTACCCACAAAACACTAAATCCATTGATGATGAAATTGAAGAATTCCTCAAATGTTTTCAGTCTAAAATTGATCAACTATGCAAACAAGATGTATTTATATTACTATTGATTGGAATACAAAAGTTGGAATATTTGGAAAATGTGGTCTTGGAAAATTTCAATACTTGGAAAATATGGCCTTGGTGATAGAAATGATGCTGGAGATCACATAATAGAATTTTGCAGAACTAATGACATTTTAAAATAATATAAAAGATTACTATCCAATGGACCTCACCAGATGGAATACACAGAAATCCAATTGACTGCATCTGTAAAAAGAGACAGTGGAAAAGCCCCATATCATCAGCCAAAAAAAGGCCAGGGGCAGATTGTGGAACAGATAATCAATTGTTCATATGCAAGTTCAGGCTGAAAATGAAAAAATATTAAAACAATTTCATGAGAGTCAAAATATGACCTGAATATATCCCACCTGAATTTAGAGATCATCTGAAGAACAGCTTTGATGCATTAGATAGTAATCAACAAAGACCAGAAGAATTGTGAGATGACATCAAGAACATCATACAGGATGACAGCAAAAGACAATTAATATAAAAAAGAAGGAAAAGACCAAAATGAATGTCAGAAGAGACTTTGAAACTTGCTCTCCAGCATAGAGATGATAAAGCAAATGGAAGAAATGAGGGGGTAAAAGAGCTGAATGGAAAATTTCAAAAAGTCAGCACTAGAAGACAAAGTCAAATATTTCAATTGAATGTGCAAAGACCTGGAATTAGAAAACCAACAGGGAAGAACACACTCAACATTTCTCAAGCAGAGGGAAATGAAGAAAAAAATTCAAGACTAGACTTGCATTATTGATTAACTCAATGGGCAAAATATTGACTGATGTAGAAATCATCAAGAGAAGACGAAAGGAATACAGAGTCACCATACCAAAAATAAATGGTCAATGTTCATCATCAAGAGTCAATGATACTGAAGGAAGTATTCCAATGTGCAGTAAAGGCACTGGCAATGAACAAGGCACTGGGAATTAATGGAATACAAATTGAAATCCTTCAACAAACTAATGAAGCATTGGAGGCACTCAATCATCTATGACAAGAAATTTTGATGACAACTACTTGGCCAACTGAGTGGAATAGGTCCACACATGTGTCCATTCCAAAGAGAAGTGACTCAGTGGAATGTGGGATTCATTGGACAATATCATCAATGTTTCATGATAGCAAAATTTTGCTAAAGCAGTATGCTTACCTGTGTATATTGACTACACAAAGGCTTCTGATTGTGTGGATCATGAAAATCTATGGACAACATTGTAGAGAATGAGAATTCGTGAACACTTAATTGTGCTCATAAGGAACCTGAACACAGTTGTTCAAACAGAATAAGGGAACACCGAATGGTTTAAAATTAGGAAAGGTGTGAGCCAGGGTTGTATTCTATCACCATACCTATGCTGAGTAAATAATCAGAGAAGTTGAATTATATGAAAAAAAATATGTGGCATTAGGATTGGAAGATGACTCATTAACATCTTCCAATATGCAGATGATATAGCCTTGCTTCCTGACAGCGAAGAGGACTTCAAGTCTTTACTGATGAAGATCAAAGACCACAGCCTTTGCTATGGGTTGCACCTCAATTTTAAGAAAATAAAAATCCTTATCACTGGACCAATAAACAACAACCATATAAATGGAGAAAGGATTAAAGTTGCTAGACTTCATTTTGTTGGATCAGCCATGAACATTCATGGAAATAGCAGTCAAGAAATCAAATGACTTAATTCATTAGGCAAATTTGCTGTATAAGACCTCTAGAAAGTTTTCAAGAGTAAAGATGTCAGATGCAAATGACCTAAGCCATGGTATTGTTAATAACTTCATATGCATGTGAAAGTTGGACAGTAAATAAGGAAGACCGTAGATAAAATGATGCATTTTACTTATAGTGTTGTAAGAGAATACTAAATGTACCATGGACTACCAAAAGTATAAACCAGTGTATATTGAAACAAGTACTCCAATAATGCTCCTTGGAAGCCAGGATGGCTATACTTCGCTTCTTATACTTTGTACATATTATCTGGAGGGACCCATCCCAGTAGAAGGACGTCATGTTTGGTGAAGTGGCGGGTCAGAACAAAAAAGGAAGACCCCCAATGAGTACTATGGCAGCAGTGATGGGATGTGAGATTGGCACAGGACCTGGCAGTGTTTCGTTCTGTTGTGCATAGGATTGCTATGAGTCAGTACTGACCCAACGACATCTAACAACAAATGTTTTCATATCACTTTAGACCACACTGTAAATTATTCTCTGGTATTTGGAAAAAAGGAGTCTATTTGTATACCTTTTTCCTAAACTTAAAAGTTATAAACTTTTCAAGCAGTTTATTTTCATTATACACACAGTAAATAAGAATGGCTAAGTCTTTGCAACATAATAAGGCACTTGAAAATATGAAATATATAGGTAGTCATCATGAGATTTTATTTATAAATTATAAAATGGCTAAATGTTGACTATCGCTTTTATGTGTTCTTAAATTCAAATTACTTTGATTCCGTGCCTACTACAAAGCACAGCAGAAACAAATTTTACATGCTTAAAGATGGTTTGATTATTTCACTCAAGCACTAGTATGAGGACTTAAACTTTAATCCTGGCCATAGAATAGGTTTCTAACCTACCAATTTTCTTGAATTCAACTTCTTTAAATTCAAGATAACTAACTATGTTTTCATGTGTCCTTTCAATGTGCTACTGTAAAATATTCTCTTAGTTATTGAGATGTAGAAAGGAAACAACATAGTCCTAGTTCTCAATGAATATACAGGAGAGAAAAGATTCATAATAGAGATTTTTTTAAATTACTTATACAAAATTTATAAGTGATTTACATGTAGTCTTTAAATGAATGGTTATTTCTTTGCTTTGTTGTACTATATATTTATGCACACTTTATATATGACAAATTTGATTCTGATGTTTATGTTCTATAAATGCATTCATCATACACTATAAATACATAGCTGACCTCCTCACACTAAAGACAGAAATCCATTATCATACAATATTAGATTTAAAAATTACACAGACAACCAGAGATGATAATCTGTAAACTAATTTAAAATGTTTATTTATGATTTCATAATTTTCAATTATTAAATTAATATTTCTCACCAGATTTATGACCTTTTTACTATTATTCTTTATTTATGGCTTTTATGGTAAAAATACTACCATCTTCAAAACAATACTTTGTCATTAGTTAATTTAAATGAAACAAAAAATCATTCCAATCAATATAGGTACTACAGTGGTAACACTTTTTAGTTTTGAACAGTCTTCTAGAATTAACAGCAATTTATTTGCAATACCAGTTGATTCTCCCCATTAATTATATTACACTAAAACTAATTCCTGACTCTAGCTATTTGATTATT